AGTGGGTATATGGAGGGGATTTTGATCATTGTAATGAAACAAGGTGTATGATTTGTTGAATGTAAAACTAATGATATGCCCTGTGAAGTTTCACTCAATCCACAATAAAAACCTTAAATAATAAATAAATAAAAAGGGCAACATTTACCTAAGGAGACAGTTGCGATGGGATGGGAATGTGGGTAAAGTGGAAATAGGAGCCACAGGCCGGAAGCAGGGTAACTGTTGTTGTGTGAAGGGGATTGCAATCATTGAGACAAGCAAAGTGTATGATTTGTTGAATATAAAACTTATGACCTTATCTGTAAACCTTCACTCAATTCACAATAAAAAGTTAAAAAAAAAAAAATTCCTTATCAAGTAGTTCTGACATCATTTCCGGTATTACATTTTCTGACTGTGTTATGTTGGTCACTTGTTTCAGACATTGTCTTGTTTCTTTGTATAAACTGAAATTGTCTGTTTTCTCTGAAACGCTATGGTGGCATAATTATATTTATATTTAATTGATGATTGTATGTTGCTGTATTCTCACCTTGGGTCTCCTGGTGGGTGTGATACTGACTGAAAGTGTGAACACAGTTCCCTGTTTGTTGTTGGTGTGGCATAGTTCAGTGTGGACGCAGGCGCCTTCAGAAGCAGGGGTGACCCCAAGTAAAGCAGAGGCAGCACACAGGAAGGGTGGGCTGGTGAGGAAGGGGACTGGCCACGCCCCCAGCTACCAAGAGGGCGTGGAACAAGGGAAAACCACCTACTCCTTGTAGCCACCCTCCAGCTCTGTTCTGTGGCCAAGCCGCTCCAGGCCAGCCTACAGACCGTTCATTTTTCTTCCCTCTTGCTGCTCCAGTTCAGCTTCCTCTTCAGTCAGCTCTCAGTCCACCTCTCTGTCCCGTCCTCTGAAATGCAGGGTTCCAGCATCACATCTATTTCTATATCTATTTCACTTGGTCTCTCATGCTTTTGTTGTACTGTGTTCAGCACATCTGCCTACTCTGCCATCTTGCCTAGGAAGTTGCAGTGCACCTAGGTGGCCTGTTTGATCAATATCAGACTAAGAAGTTGGTTGAATTCTTCAGTATCATAATCATTAGCCTTAGTAGTTGGTGTGTAAATTTGAAAAATAGTCATATTAACTGGTGCTCTGGTAGCGTAGTGGTTACGAATCGGGCTGCGAACCTTAAGGTCAGCGGTTCGAAACTACCAGCTGCTCCGCGGGAGAAAGATGAGGCTTTCTACTCCCGTAAAGATTTACACCCTCGGAAACCCTGTACAGGGTCGCTATGGGTCGGACCCGACTCAACGGCACTTAACAACAACAACAACAACAACATTGTGTAGTAGTGGTGGTGTGCCATGGTGTCAGTTCCAACTCATAGCAACCCTACATAGGGTTGCTGAAGCTGTAAATCTTTGCAGAAGCAGAAGGCCTTATCTTTCTCCCGTGGAACAGCTGGTAACTTCGAACTGCTGGCCTGTGGTACCAGCCTGACTTGTAACCACTATGCTACCAGAGCTCCTTGGTCTTCCTTGTAGCATATGGATCTTAGCCTACCACAGCCGTAATTGTACTTCAAGGTAGACCTTGAAATGCTCTTTCTGACAAGGAATGCAGCACCATTCCTCTTGAATTTGTCATTCCCAGGAGTAGTAAACCACATTACTGTTCTATTCAAGATGGCCAATACCTGTCCATTTCAACTCATTAATGCCTAGCACATTGATCTTTATGCGCTCCATATTACTTTTGATGACTTTTCAATTTTCCTAGATTCACCCTTCGCACTTTGCGTGTTTCAATTACTAATGGATGTTTACAGATGTTTCTTCTCATTTTGAATTGTGCCTAATCAGCAAATGAAGGTCCCAAAAGCTTTGCTCCATCCGTTATTATGGTCAACTCTACTTCTCCAATCATATCTTGAGTGACTTCCAACTTGAGGGGCTTATCTCCAGCACTATATCATACATTGTTCTGATGCTATTCATTCGGTTTTCATTGGCTAACTCTTCAGAAGTGGTCCACATCTCCTTCTTCCTGCTCTGTCTTAGTCTGGAAGCTCCGCTGAAACCTGGCCACCATGATGACCCTGCTGGGACTTAAAATATCTGTGGCCTAGCTTCCAGCATCACAGCAACTCACAAATGACCACAATGTGACAGACTTACAGACAAGTGGTGCAACAGTAACTCTAATCTAACCTTTTTTTTTAGGAGTAAGGAGTTAGGTTTATGGCTCAGTCTAGGGTTTCATGTACTGTTAAGCTTATGGTTAACCATAGTCCTAACCATTACACAATGAGCTGGCCTGGACCTAACTATAAACCTAATCCTAATTCCTTACTTCTTATTTAAAAAAAAAATCATCCTTAGGAAACCCTATATATGGTAGCTATGTGTCAGAATTGACTAGATGATGCCAGTGGGTTAGGGTTTTTTGTTGTTGTTGTCGTAGTTATGTGTCGGGAAGTTGGTTCCGACTCATAGCGACCCTGCATAGGGTTTCCGAGGCTGTAAATCTTTACGGGAGCAGAAAGCATCATCTTTCTCCCAGGGAACAGCTGGTAGTTTTGAACTGCTGACCCTGAGGTTCGTAGCCCGATTCGTAACCACTACGCTACCAGAGCTCCTTGGGGATTTTTGTTGTTGTTGTCAAGTGCCGTCAAGTCAATTCCGACCAATAGCAACCCTGTATAGGGTTTCCAAGGAGCAACTGGTGAGCTTGAACCACCGACCTTGCAGTTCAAACGGCTTTGCAGTCTGGCGCATTAACCCACAGCACCACACCAGGACTCCACTGGGTTTTTTGGTAAGAGGCCCTAAATTGAAGTTTGCACAAGGGACTTCTCAGCATAATCACCATTTCTAAAGACAAAGTGTACTCAGGTGTTTCTTGTTGATAGAAAGTCACTTGGTGAGTACAGATGCCCCCAACTCTGTCTGACCTTGGTTCACAGTATCTATCATCTTTATAAACTTTGGATAATAAAGTCAGTCTACTCTGAGACTAGTTTCCCTTCTTCATGCAATAAAACTCGACAGTAACCCTTTTAGTTTGTACAGCACTTGAGGGGTTGCAAACTGCACTCCAGATTTCCCACTGTGTGTCAGAGTCCAACTGTGCTCACAGGGTTTTCAAATGGCTGGTTTTTTGGAAGTAAATCCACAACTTACTATTTTTCACCTGTTACTTTCGCTCATAAGTGATCTCAAATCTAGGAAAACCACACAATGTTATCTATGCCTGAGAAATCCAATTAGCAAATGGGAAAACAAAATTAATACCTAACTGGAAGAAAATACTTGCAATACATGAGACAGAAAGCTGGTATCTCAAATATGAAATGAACCTTTTCTAAAAATAAAAAAGGCTAATAAGTTACACGCGGCTAAAAGGATGTGAAGCAAAGCTTACTCAACTACGCTGGCGTGAGCGGCCATTCTAATGAAACCACCAATAAACAAATGTGGAGACTGTTTTGCAAAGATCAGTCATTTCAAGTGCTGGCAAAACTAGGGGCACACTCGTGTGGCATTAAGGACAGTGTGCACTGGTACATCCTTTTTACTGGACACGTCCTCAGAACCACTAGTTTCACAACTAGAAACCTCTCCTACAGAAATACTCGCCCATATACACAAAGATGCACGTCTAAGGCTTTTATGTCCCCAACACCTGCTCCTCCCTCTCCGTGCGCCCTTTGCTGAGGGATCAGGACCTCGGCGGGAGGGTCCCTGCAATCCCAGTCCTGGTGCGTGTCCACATTCTGACTTGGACAACCTGACAGACTGTCTTTGAGAACCAAACCCAAATGAGCATCCTGCTTGCCGGCTGACTTCTGACCAAAACCGCGCGACTGGCAACTCTCGGCCTACCCTGACTCTGGCCCCGCCCACCGGATCTCTGACCCGCCCCTTCCTAGGTTCCCTACGGTCGAGTTAAAGAACCACCGAGATGGAAGAGCCTCCACGCCGCCTAGAGAGCCCGGAAGTCCGTGGGGGCAAGGCGGGGGGCAAACGCCCGAGGCCCCATTTCCGGCGGCGTCGCGCTCGCTAGCCGCGGGCAGTCCTTTGGGAGGGTGAGTCTGCGCGGCGGGTGTGACGGCCGGGTGGGAGCCGTCGGCACTTCCCACCCTCTGGCCGTACCGCAGCAGGGCCTTGCGTCCTTTCGCCTCCGGCTCTTCGGGCTGAGCTCCCAGCTTTCCTGCCTCTGGCCTCCCTCAAGCTTGTCCCGGGGCAAGCATGGGTCGGCGGGCTTCCTGGACCGGCAATGTGTACCTGGCGGGGAAAGTGCTTGAGCAGCAGCTGTCTCAGTCCTAGTCGGCTGAGGAATCGTAGGCCGGGTCCCGCTGCTCCACGGGGCCCTGAGCCAGGCGAGCGCCAGCCGCGGCCTCCGCTCCAGGTTTCCGTCGGCTTCGGAAGCATCCTGCCTGCAGAGCACCCGTTCCTATGGCCCGCTCCTTCCCCCGCACCAAAAACAGGGCGGTGCCATGGTCAGGGTAGGCTCTCTGTCCTCCAATTCTTGGTTCTTAGAATCCTGGCTGCTGCTCTGGGCGCTCCCTTTCCACAGGGGACCCAGGACTAGTCTGGTAGCTGCACTCTTCTTGACCAGGCTTTGACTGGGGACCCTCCCGACAGTGGGCACTGCGACCTGAGCCAGCCTTGCTGTATCTACAAACCACATTCTGAACCCATAGCGCTCTCATTCTCATGACAGTCTTCCAGGGGCAGGCGTCTGGGTCTTGGCTCAATTACGGTGCACAATCGACATCAGATCACAGTCTGGGGTCATTTGATGGCCTGGAGCCGGGTTTCTGGAACTCAGACTTGTGTCCACTTGCATCTCCTTGCTGGACTTTCTGTGTCCAACCCTGCTCCCCCCCCACCGTCCATCGTTCTGACTCCTGTCCACTTCAGCCTCCAATCTCTGCTTCCCTTGGCTACTCACTCGTTCCTTCCTGCTGCTCCGAGTGCCTGGTTCACTCTTGTACACAGTATAGGTCTCCTTCCTTCTTCAGAAGTCCTTGTGTTTTAGTACCGTCAGGACTTTGATTTTGCGTTTGTGTGGTCATTCAGTTCTTCCCTCACCTAAACTGCGCTCCGTGGAGTCGGAATCTTTTTCTCTAGGTTCACTTCTATACCTGCTTTGCTCAGTTGAGCATCCGATCGTGGGAGTGATCATTACATGTTTGGGAAGGTTCTTTCACACACATAAACGAGAATGAATGGAGCTTTTTTTTATTAGGGGGTGAGGTGGGGTGTTTGGAGGACAGATACTCACTTGAGTTCTATGGCCCAACCCCATTCCTGCCAGATAGCAACTGGGTGGAAAGTAAAGGAACAGAGAATGCATACCCCGCCCTGCCCTCCATTAGCCAGAAAGTGGGGGATTGCTAATGCCTTGACCACTGTTCTCCTGCCCACAGAGCTCTTGGCCAGAACACTTGGATGCTCACCGAGCCTCATGGTAGGAACCCCAATGGGTCTGTGTTCCTGCTTGCTCCACTCCCCTCCTCCCTCCCCCATGCTGCACTCCTACCCTGCCCCCCTGAGCCCAGTGCCTCCTTGGTCTTCACCCAGGCATGCCCCTTTTGCTCGTACCATCAAGACAGTGCATAAGCTCCTGCCCAGGCCCAGGCCCAATGGAGGCTCTGAGTGGGGAGGGTATATGACATGGCCTTGGTCTGGGCCCCTCCCCGGTTTTAGGACCACAGGGGCTACCCACACAAGCCCATGGTGCACCTGCCAGAGACAGGCCATGAGGTGGTGCCAGGGTGGGCAGACACCCAGGTCTCCCTGGGGCACTGGTATGTGTGCTTTCAGGAGGCAGTGACGTTTGGCGATGTGGCGGTGCACTTCTCGAGGGAAGAGTGGCAGTGTCTAGACCCCGGCCAGAGAGCTCTCTACCGGGAGGTGATGCTGGAGAACCACAGCAGTGTGGCTGGACTCGGTGAGGCTGCACCTGGGACTCCCTCCACAATGCCATCCGTGCCCAACTTGCCCCAGCTACTGTTTAGGGGCTTCACACTTAACCCCTCAGGAGTAATGGACCTTGGGCCCATGAGGGTTTATGTCTTTGTGTTAGCAGCCTATAGGGCAGGAGTGATGAACCTGGAGCTGGAATACTTGTACTTTCAGGGTTTTGGTAGAACTCACCTGTAAAACTGTCTGGGTCTTGGCTTTGGGAGAAGAGAGGTCTTGGACTAGCATTTCCATTTCGTTGATGCTTAATGGGCAATTGGAACTTTTAAACTTCCTCTAGTCATTTTGTCATTTCTAGTTTTTATAAAACTTGGTCCATTTCATTTACATTTTCAAGCCTTTTGGTAGTATGTCCGTAATATTTTTCCGTTTGTTTTGATTCTGTTGTTTGTAGTTATAGTGTTTTGTTTTTGCGTGTGTTTACTATGTTGACCTTGATTGGTTTCCACACAAAATCTCTTATTATTTCCTGGATGTCTGCCCACCAATTCTTCTTCTTCTTATGTGTTTCTGTTTTCCACTTTGTTGACTGATACCCCATCTGTAGTATTTCATTCCTTGTTATTTCTGTGGATTTGCTCTCAACTTCTTGCATTTAAGTTTTATCCCATGTGTGTTTTTGCATTCTTGTTTATAGCTGTCATTGTTAGGTGCTGTCGAGTTGGTTCAGACTCATAGCAACGCCATTAGGTAACGTAGAAGTTTTCTGGCTGTAATCATTGCTGAAGAAAGAGCAGCAAATCTTCCTCTCCCGGACTTCTGGGTGGGTTTGAACCGTCCATCTTTTGGTTAGAATCTAAGTGCTTACTTGTTGTGCTGCCAGGCTTTATAAAAAACCCAAAGTTCCTTCTCTTAAGTCCTGCTTTAGCTGGGTCCTGGGCCCTGGGGGGCACAAATGCATAAAAGTCCATTACTAACCAGAAAGGGAGCTGACTTGAACCAACCCAGAGACACCTTTGAAGAAATGCCTGAAGATCTATTTCAGTAGAAATTTTTCGGTTACCTTCTTCATTTCTAATATAATTGCTGTTTGGCGAGGCACACAATTTGTGATTCTTTAGAACTTACCAAGATTCCCTTATGGCCTAAGAGAGGGCTTTTTCTGTAAATGCTCCTTGTACGTTTAAAAAAGAATGCACTTTTGGTTGTGTGTGGCATTCGGACCACATCTGATAGCTGTAGCTTGTTGCCTGTAGACCTTTGGGGTCTGTGCCTACCCCACTTCGCCCTACAGCAGGCTTCTGGGAGAAACTTACTTACTGAGGTCTTGGTCAACTTCTCCTGGGTGGGATGCCAGTCCATATGCCATTTGGCAGTAATGGATGTGCAGGTACTGGGGTGGTACCAAGAGCAAGGTGCTGGTAGGAGCCCACAGTGCCCAGCACCGTCCTTTTGGAGGGGGAAGCAGGGTGGGAGGGGCCAGCACCCTCTGATTTAAAGGTGGCTTCTTTGGTTTGTTTTGTGACTGCTTGTCCTGTGAGCTTTGTCTGGCTCCCTGCACTGAGGGGACAGCTGAGTCCTGCTGAGAAAGGTGCAGACAGCATGCCTAGCAGCTCTTCCCTCTCCTCCAAGGCCCTGGGGGCTCTTCGGTGACAGGGACCAGTGGGGAGAGTGGCCCTGCTGCACATGGAGTGTGGGTGTCCCTGACAGTCGGGCCTCAGGAGTGTCCTATGTATCCCTGTGCCCCCTCAGAGAGTCTGTCTTTGCCCCTCACTCCTCCACCTCTAGAAGCCAGCAGGAAGTCTGCACATTATGTCAGACCACCCACACAAACAAGCTTCTCTGCCCACCCCAGCAGGAGTCCTGGTCTTCAAGCCTGAGCTGATCTCCCGCCTGGAGCAGGGGCAGGAGCCATGGGTACTGGACCTGAAGGGATTGGAGAACAGAGAGCTGCCAAGGACCTCCCCGACAGGTGAGGCTCAGGCTCTGAGGCATCCCCACTCTCTGGTCCCCAGACGCTCCCCAACCACCCAGAGCCTGCTGTAGCTCTGGGAAGGAGGGTGAGGAGAAGCTCAGAAACCTGCCTTAGGATGTGCAGGGTGGATGAGGCCAGCCCTGGTGGCTAACCCTGACTACCTGTGGACCCCCTGCTGGGACACCTGGGACCACCATCCAAGATAGAAACTGTCCCGGTGGAAAGGGGGGCGGGGAGGACTTCCTTAGGAGAGACTGGGATTCATGGAAAAGCAAGAACACAAAACACCTGTGTGTTGTGACAAAGTTTTTTAAAGTTTGGTTTTAAAATCATGTTTTGTTCCGTTTCTCATTTTACTAATGTTCTAGTTAAAAGTACAAGTGTGCCAAGCAAAACATGCCAGTCTTTAAAATTAGACTCTCTGTAATAAACAGTGCTCCCCCCCACCTCCACCAGTGGCTCCTCCAACCCTGGATGACCCAGTCTCTGTGGGTGACCCGGCCTCTGTGGGTGACCTGGCCTCTGTGGGTGACCCGGCCTCTGTGGGTGACCCGGCCTCTGTGGGTGACCCAGTCTCTGTGGGTGACCTGGCCTCTGTGATTCCAGGCTACTAACTGCTTCACCGCGTTCGCTCCCACCAGGCTGTTGGGGCAATGCAGAAATCCCCTCCCTACTGCTGGGCTGTCTCCATGGTCACTGCTGTAAACAGCAGGGCTAACCCTGCAGGAGGACCTCCAGAACTGTGGAAAGTGTGGACTACATTCCCAGGCTGCAGGCTCAAAGCAGGCCCATGCTTCTGCCTAGGATCTTGTCACACACGCCCTGTGGGTGTTGTGGGCTGTCCTCACCTCATGGTTACTGTGGCACTGCCATCAACCCCTGAAGGGCAGGTCTGGTGTGTAGGAAGGAGGGTCAGGAGCCCCCGTCCACGCAACCCCTGTCACCCCTTCTCTGTCCTTCTGTTCAGACTTTTCTCATCCTCCCTGGTGGGGGGGGGGGGGGAGGTGCAGGGTGACCCAGTTGAAACCAGCTCCCATTCAGCATTATCAAGTTGTGGGAAGTTTTAGAGAGGGCACCAAGGCAGAGACGCCATCGATAGTTGGCCAGTCTATGTAGTTCAGGGTTAAGCACTAGATGGCCATTGTGGTGATATAGTGATAACAAAAACATCATCATCACTTCAGCAGAGACCCAGAGGGGTCACTCTTGCCCAGTGTTTGCACCTGCAAGTGGAAGCTCAGGGCAGGAGTCAGACATTTTGGAGGAAGATGTTCCCTAACGTAACCCCAGAGCATGTCGAGAAGAAACCTAACAGTCACTTGGAATAGGGGACCGCCAGCACTTGCCGAAGGTGAGGCCCAGGTGCACGTGCTCTGTCTGTCCCCTCCCTAACCCTTGTCGACATCACAGAAGGTGACTGCTGGTGGACCGACCACCAGTCTAGTCTGATAGGTTCAGTGGTCAGGGGAGCTCAAGTCCCAAAGTTTTGGTGTTGTTGAGGCCCTGGGAGGGTGACAACAACCAAAGATTGTCAGGGAAGGAAACAAGCTACATTTCCTTAGACGTGAGACTTTGTAAACGCAGCACAAGCTGTTTGCAGGCACGGTAACAGGAAACCAGAGGGAGATAGTCCAGAGTAGCTGAAATGGGCTTGTGGCTTAACACATGGCGGTTTTATTTCTCACGTGAGGCGGGAGGGTCTGGGCTGCCTTAGGGCTTAGCAGCACCCCCAGTCTCCTCTGTGTATCCCCCTCCCTCCTTAACGTGTGGTTTTCATCCTTCTGAAAAAAGGGGACAGAGGGGAAGCAGTGCGTATCCTGTGTTCACCCCCAGCTGCCAGCAAGTCTCAGAGTTCTATTTTCTCTACAACAGAGGATGCAAGGGAGAAAGGCACTGGATGTGGATTAAGCAACCCTCACGCAGTGTTTGCTACTCTTGCAAGCAACGGGTTTTCCGAGGTTATGTGATTATGAGGAAAAAGAAGTGGGAGGACAAGGCTTGGAGACTGCCCTCTGTGTCTAATGGCCCCTGCTGTATCCCTGCTGCACAGTGAGGTTGGAAGTATGTGTGTGACGGCTAGACTTAACTGGGCTCTAGTCCTCATTCTATCAGTAGCTGTTTTATCTCTCTGAGCCACAGTCTCCTTATCTGTGGAATGAAAATACTGCTACTGACTTTATTAGATTATTGTGAAGATTCATCGAGACTCCTCAGGCACTTTTCCTTGTATATAAAAGATATTCAGTAAATGTTAACCTCCTTCCTCACAAAGAGACAGTCTAGGACCAAGAGACAGACTGCAAATCATCAGAAACTTGAGAGCCAGACTTTGCTGATTTGGAGTGAGCTGTGGTCCATGAGAACAGAAACAGATTGTTGGTTATAACCATGGGCAGCACAGATGTGTCTGACTTCAGTAAACATGGTCTGAGAGGTTGCAGAATAAGAAGGAAGCTGACCTTGAGAGTCCAAAGGGAAGGATTCAGGAAGGCAGAGGAAGTCAGTGTGGGCTGCTGGGCATGGCTGCTGGGAAACTGAGATGCAGGCTAGCAAAGGCTACAGTCAGGTACAAATTGGGAGGAAGTAGCTCTTGGGAGCAGCGAGAGAGGGAACCAAGGGCTAAGGTCTGGGGTCCTGCTCAGAGAACCCCACTTTAGTGAGCAGCTGGGGTAAGTTGTTCAGAGGAAGTTGTATGTAACGTCATTTGGGCTCACTTCTTGTGTCTATCCAGTCCTTGCATTCACAGTTCTGGAACACCCTTTTTTCCCCTCACTCTCCCACTCCCTCTGACATATCCCATTTCCTTGGGCACATGGAGCCTCTGACCTTCTTAGCATAATCTTTCCTCTTAGGAAACTCTCCACCCTTTTCAGACTTACTTTGTTCTCACTTTTCCCTCTTTCTGGATTGCTCTTCCTACCAGTCACTGTAGGATGAATTCTTTGCTACCATACTCTTCTCTTAGGATGTGCACCTTTTAGTAGTCGGCCTAGCACACAATTGCTGTTGAATAGTTGTTGTTGTTGTTAAGTGCCGTCGAGTCGGTTCCGACCCATAGCGACCCTGTACAGGGTTTCCGAGGGTGTAAACCTTTACAGGAGTAGAAAGCCTCATCTTTCTCCCGCGGAGAGGCTGGTAGTTTCGAACCGCTGACCTTAGGTTCGCAGCCCGATTCGTAACCACTACGTTACCAGAGCTGTTGAATAGAGAGGTCAGTAAAGCACAAAGTGGGACTGAAAGTACATTCTTAAACTGTCAAAGGTGTTAGTGTTTCGTAGTGGGCCACACCGTGTTCAAGGCAGCCTGCCTGGGATGGGACTCAGTTCCCACAGTGACAAAACTACCCCCCTTCCTTAGAGCACAGGGACTAAGGAGCATATTTATTTTGTTTATTTCAGATTCTACTCTTAGGACTGATAATGAGCAGGCTTGTGAGGAAATGGATATTCTAAGATCAGAATTACATGGAATGAGGATCAGAATCCCTCTACAGGATTTTCCTCCAAATCCTGGCTTTGCAGACACTTCTGGTTCTGAGGTCTGGCTAGAGAGTAATCAGAGCAGTCCTCCTAGGCTGACAGAAATAAAAAACTGTTTCAGCACAGACTCTGTGATGCTCAAGAAGACCTTCACCCAGGAGAACTCCAAGGGGCATAACAAAGTGGGGGACGATGGCAGCTTGGACTGTAACCCTAATGGGAACCAGAGAGATACTGCCAAAGATGCAGCAGAAAGATGTGATGGGTGTGGCAGAAACTTTAGATCCATTTCAGACATTGCTCAGTGTTGGAAAGTAAATATGGAAAAAAAACCTAACAAGTGTCAGGAGTGCCAAAAGAAATTAACTCATCATTTACAGGGGAAATGTCAAAGTACTTGCCAAGGAGAGAAACCATATGAATGTGAGGAATGTGGGAAAGTCTTCAGGTTGTGTTCACAGCTTAATCAGCATCAGAGAATCCACACCGGAGAAAAACCATTTAAATGTACTGAATGTGGAAAAGCCTTCCGTCTGAGCTCTAAACTTATTCAGCATCAAAGAATTCACACTGGAGAGAAACCCTATAGGTGTGAGGATTGTGGAAAAGCCTTTGGTCAGAGTTCAAGCCTCATCCACCATCAGAGAATTCATACAGGAGAGAGGCCCTATGGTTGTCATGAGTGTGGGAAAGCCTTCTGTCAGCAATCCCAGCTGATCAGACACCAGAGGATTCACACTGGAGAAAGGCCTTACATGTGTAAGGAATGTGGGAAGGCATTCAGCCAGAGCTCAACTCTAGCTCAACATCAGAGAATACACACTGGGGAAAAATCTCAAATCTCAAGAACCTCAGATAGTCCAAGCCTTGTGCCACATCAAAGAATTCACACTGTGGAAAAACCATTTAAATGTGATGAATGTGGGAAAGCTTTTAGATGGACCTCTCGCCTTAATCAGCATCAGTTAATTCACACTGGAGAGAAACCTTATAAATGTAACAAATGCACAAAAGCCTTTGGTTGTAGCTCAAGGCTTATACGCCACCAGAGAACTCACACTGGAGAAAAGCCATTTAAATGTGATGAGTGTGGGAAGGGCTTTGTCCAGGGCTCACACCTTACCCAACATCAAAGGATTCACACTGGAGAGAAACCTTATGCATGTAATGACTGTGGCAAAGCCTTTAGTCAGAGCTCAAGTCTTATTTGCCACCAGAGAATCCATAAGGGAGAGAAACCCTATGAATGTCTTGAATGTGGAAAAGCCTTTAGTGTGAGCACACAGCTTACAATCCATCAGAGGATTCACACTGGAGAGAGACCCTACAAGTGTAGTGAATGTGGGAAAGCCTTCAGTCAAAATTCAACCCTTTTCCAACACCAGATAATTCATGCTGGAGTGAAGCCTTATGAATGTAGTGAATGTGGGAAAGCGTTTAGTCGTAGTTCCTATCTTATTGAACACCAGAGAATTCACACAAGAGCCCAGTGGTATTATGAATATGGAAATACCCTGGAAGGCTCAAACTTGGTGAGTCGTAAAAAGGTTAATACTATAAAGAAGTTACATAAATGTAGTGAATGTGAGAAAATATTCAGGTGGCGTTCACACCTAATTATACACCAGAGAATCCACACTGGAGAGAAACCTTACAAGTGCAATGAGTGTGGGAAAGCTTTTAATCGGAGCTCGAGGCTTACTCACCATCAAAAAAGTCATATGGGCTAGGCTGTTTAGAAATGTGAATAGTACAGCGACTTAGTCAATTATTTTATACGGGATCATTTATGCCGGCAAAATTTTAGAATGTTAGGAGACTTAATTGTTCTCAAAAAAAAAAAAAAACCACCCAAATTCATACAAAATGTTTTTTGTTGGTATGTTTGATCTTATTCCTTTAAATAAAATCTGTGTCTCTCACATTCCAGGTGAACAATTGTAGAGTTTTGAGTTCAAATGATTCTGGGTCCCTGAGTAGAAGAAAGTTGTGTCAGAAATACCACTTGAGCTCTGTCAAACTGAGTAATTAAAAAAAAGTTACTCTAAGCATTTTCCCTTAAGGATCAATTACTCAAAATGATTTATGTAGTAAGAAATGTATTAGTTCATTAGACAAAGTCCCGAAGAATCCTGCATGTTGTTGTTACGTGCCATCGAGTCAATTCCAACCCATAGTGATCCTATATAGGATTTCCAAGGAGCGGCTGGTGAGCTTGAACCCCTAACCTTGCTATTCAGACAGCTTTGCAGTCCAGCGCATTAACCCACAGTCCCACACCAGGAATCCTAGAATCCCCATATCCTCCTAACATCTTCACTTAACTCCTCTAAAACTCACCACACAGTGGAGCAGCCCTGTGATCCAGCTTCTTCCTTTCCAGATGTAGGTTTGGGCTGGCAGAGTGTTGTTCATTGTCATTGACTCAGTTCTGACTCTCAGTGACCCTCCACACAACAGAATGAAACACTGCCCGGTCCTGTGTCAAACTCACAATTGGTAACACTGCCAGTCCATCTCATAGGCTGTCTCCCACGTTTCCCTGCTACTCCATGTTACCAAGCATGATGTCCTTCTCCAAGGACTGGCCTTTTCTGATAATATGTTCAACGTATGAGAGATGAAGTCTGGTCATCCTGGCTTCTAAGGAGCATTCTGGTTGTACTGCCAAACCAGATCTGTATGTTTTTATGGCAGTTTTTGGTACTTTTGGAGTCCTGGTGTGGCGCTGTGGGCTAAAAAGTCAGACTGCAAAGTCATTTGAACTGCAAGGTTGGTGGTTCAAGCTCACCAGCTGCTCTTTAAAAACCCTATACAGGGTCACTATGGGTAGGAATTGACTCTACAGCACATAACAAATGGTACTTTTAATATTCTCCAACACCATAACTCAAATGCATTAATTCTTCTATGGTCTTCCCTATTTATTTTATAACTTTCACATGCATGTCAGACTATTGAAAATACTATGGCTTGGGTCAGGCACACCTTAGTCCTCAAGCTGACATCTTTGCTCTTCAACACTTTAAAGAGGTCTTGTGTAGCAGATTTTCCTAATGCAATACCTCATTTGATTTCTTGACTGCTGATGTCATTGTGTTGACAGTTGCTCCAAGCAAAATGAAGTCATTGACGACTTCAGTCTTTTCACCACTTATATTGCTGTTTGTTGTTCCAATGGTGAGGAGTTTTGTTTTTGCATTGAGGTGCAACGCGTGACAAAGGCTGTGTTCGTCGATCCACATCAGTTAGTATTTTAAGATATCTTCGCTTCTAGCAGGCAAGATTGTATCATATGCATATTGCAGGTTGTTGGTGAGTTTTCCTCCAATCCTGATACCACATTCTTTATATAATCCAGCCTTTCAGATTATTTGCTCAGCATACAAATGTATGGTGAAAGAATACAGCCCTAGCGTACACCTTTCCTGATTTAAAATCAGTTAGTTTCTCCTTGCTCTGCTCGAATGACTGGTGGTCTACATACAGGTTTCTCAGGAGCACAATGAAGTGTCTGGAATACTCAGTGTCTGCAATGTTGTCCAAAGTTTATCATAATCCAGAGTCGAAAGCCTTTGCATAGTCAATAAAGCACAGGTAAACATCTTTCTGGTAGTCTCTGCTTTCAGCAAAGATCCGTCTAATGCCAGCAATCCCTCATGCCACATCCTCGTCTGAATCTGGCTTGAACCTCTGACAGTTCCCTGTTATTGTACTGTTGCAGCTGTTTTTAAATAATTTTTAGCAGAATTTTAACTTGCATCTGATATTAATGATAATTGTTCAATGATTTCTGCATTCCATTGAGTCATCTCTTTGAAATGGGCACAAACATGAACTCTTCCAATCAGTTGGCTTCCAAATTTCTTGGCCTAGATGAGTGAGTGTCTGCAATGCTACACCTGTTTGTTGAACGATTTCATTTGTTCCGTCAGTTCCCAGACCCTTGTCTTTTCCCAGTGCCTTCAGTGCACCTTGGATTTCTTCCTTCAGTATCATTGATTCTTGATCATGTGTTTGTTACCTCTTGAAATGATTGAACACTGACCACTTCTTTTTGGTACATTAATTGTGTATTCCTTCTATCTTTTGGTATTTTCTGCATAACTAAATATTTTGCCCATAGAATCTTTCAATTTTGCAAGTTGAGGTTTGAATTTATTTTTTTCAGTTCCCTCGGCTTGAGAAATGCTAAGCGTGTTATAATCCCTTTTGGTTTTCTAACTCCAGATCTTTGCACATTTCATTAAAATATTTGACTTTGTCTTCTTAAACTTCCCTTTGAAAAGTTCTGTTCAGCTCTTTTACCTCCTCATGTCTTCCTTTTGCTTTAGCATCTCTGCTGGAAAACAAGTTTCAGAGTCTCTTCTGACATGCATTTTATTTTATTTTTTTATGTTTTATTGTGAATTATCTGATAGTTTACATGGGAGAACATTGGCTTTACATTCACCCTGTCGTGTATCGTTTCATTGCCATGGTTACAATCCCCTCCATGCATTATCAACCAACCAAAGGGTATATACCCTGCAAGCCTGCCCCCTGGTCATCAGCACACATAGTGAGGCCTATGTGTGTAGTCTTTTATGTTGTTTTAAGAAGGTATCTGTACTGAAGAATTCACTGGTTTTGCAAAATTTTATCATACAGTCTCCAGCATCATTTCTATCACCAAGGTTATATTTTTCAACTACTTATCCTTCCTCTTTGTTTCCAACTTCCGCATTCGAATCACCATTAATTACCAATACATCTTGGATTGCCTGTCTGATCAATTACAGATTGAAGAAACTGGTAGAATTCATCAATTTCATCATCACTGGCTTTAGTGGTTGGTATGTAAATTTGAATAGTGGTATTAACTGGTCTGCCTTGGTATGGCTAGTATCCCATCACAGACAGCAATATACTTCAAGATAGATCTTGTAATGTTCTTTTTGATGATGAATGTGACACCATTCCTGTTCCATTTGTCATTCATTCTCAGCATAGTAAACCATGTGATTGTCAGATTCAAAATGGCCAGTCAGTCCATTTCATGTCACTAATACCTAGGATATTGATGTTTATGAGTTCCATTGCATTTTTGATAGCCTCCAGTTTTCCTAAGTTCGTCCTTCATACCTTCCATGTTCCAATTATTAATGACTATTTGCTACGGTTTCTGCTCATTTTGAGTTGTGCCCCATTAACTGAAGAAGGTCTTGAAAGCTTTATTTCACGGTCAAGTCTACTTTTGAGGAGCCGGTTCTTCCCCAGTCATATTCTGAATACCTTCCTGCTTGAGGGTTATCTTGGAGGGTCTGCAGAAAAGAGGAAGATCCCCAGTGAGGTGGAGTAGCACACTGATTGCAGCAGTGGCCTCAAGCATAGCAACAATTGTGAGACTGGTGCCAGACCAAGCCGTGTTTAGTGCCATAGTGCATAAGGTGACAGCCCCTAACAACACCACCATTTATAGTGTCCCATGTTCAGTCTGTTGGTGCTCTATGATAGTGCTCTGCTGCTGTTGACAAGGGTTTCCATGACGAAACATCTAGAAGGAGCAGTAGGCCACCTTTCCTTGTTCCTTGTCTAGTTTAGTCTGGAAGCTCAGCTGAAATCTCCACCGTGGGTGACCATGGCACCATTCAAAATACCAGTGGCATAGCTTCCAGCCTTACAGCAACACGCAAGTCCCCACAGTGTCACAAACCGACACACGAGTGTTGGGATACCCATTGTCAGTGTGTCATTCATAGAGCACAGATTTTGTGCTTCTTGTTGTGTGCCGTGGAGTCGGTTCTGACCCACAGTGACCCTGTACAGGGTTTCCGAGGCTGCAAATCCTTACGGGAGCAGAAAGCCTCATCTTTCTCCCGTGGAACAGCTGGTAGTTTCGAACTGCTGACCCTGAGGTTAGCAGCCCGATTTGTAACCACTACGCTACCAGAGCCCTGGTGTCATGACAAAGATCTTTAAAGTCACACCTGGGACCAAGAAAGTACAGTGTGACCCTGAAACATCATTCACCCTCCTGAAATTCCTTATCTACAAATAGACATCTTTAAAGGTTGTTAAAAGGATTAAACAGTCTACCTCTGTGCCTGGCACAGGCTAACTACTAGCTTGAACACATGCAGACTCTCACATCCCGCTCCCTGTCCATCCTCACCCACACCTCCAGCAAGCAAGCCCAGAGTCACAAGACCTTCCAAACCAGGGTTCCCAGCCATGCCCCAACTTGAAGACTTGAACCATATAAATTAGGTGACCCATCGAGGGTTGATGCAGAAGATACCACCCAGAGGTTAGGACATGCATTGTTTACTGCTACAAAACAAATGACCTCAGAACTCTAAAAAATGAACTGTCAAGAAGTGTGTAAGTTTCACCCTTCTACATGCTAACATACTAATGGATGTAGCAGAGAATACTAGATTGTTGGCATCAGAAGCTGTGATACAGTGTGTGTGTGGTCATATCCATTCCTCTTGCATTCACTGAGTCCCCGGATGCTGTGCACACAGTGAGGATATCAGCGAGTGGAGAGACATTGCTTCATCACAACTTGAGAGATGGCCCAGGTGAAGAGCAGTAAGAACATCCACACATGTCTGGGTCTGTGGCATACTGCCTCTCCCGGCAGCTTACCCCTCAGCCTGGCACACGCGGGTTAACTCAGATTTTCACTATAGTCTGCCCTCTATGGAACACTAGTTAATCTGGTGACTCTGAGGAGCTGGGACCA